CCACAACTATTTGGCTTGGCAGCAATTTCATCTTTAGATATTTCCTCCAAACAAATTGCACAACAAACATTGGGCTCAGTTTTTCTTAAGTTGGATGAATGACCCTGAGAATGAGAATTCATAAACTCACATTAGCTTATAATTTCTGTCAAAAAATCCTCTCCCTGTAAAAAAGAATGCTAACCCTTTGCCCGACCCCCACCCCCTGTGGGCTTGGCATAGATAAGTGAGTGCATTAGCAAAGTTTTAATTATGATTTTGACATCCCGCCACAGGACAAAAGAAAAGTATACGAATAAAGACCGTCGTCACTAAAACTACTCAATAATCGGCACCTAAAGTAATGAAATCTTTCAGGTAATGAAGTTAACGTCTAAAATGCCCCTACGTTTTTACCCTAAATGTCACCACTTCTTTTTTATTTATATGTAAAACAATATACTTTAACCACTTACTTTAGCTGAGCTATCATAAATGCTCTTCTGCAACTCTTCATCATCACTGGAAGTTTCTGGTTCGCTTTCCACGTTCAACATCTTGGGCATTTCGGAAAACAGAAAATCTGATTTTGTACTGATAATGTTATTCTCTTGTACTGCCTTCCAACTTCTTCTCTGTATTTCTCCAATACGAAGGGCTCATTAGATCCTGGTATATTGACTATCTCGCTACCGTCGGGGTAAAGAGGAACATACTCTCATCCATCATGCAGGCTTTTATCGTGACTTGTATGTTTAGTGACTGCTTTCTCCGTTATCTGACTTGCACTTGCATCTGTGGTAATAGTAATTGGCAATGTATTCCCTCTACACTTTTTAAGTTCACCATTACAGTATTTCATTACTCCTATATTGACAATAACATCCTTCTTCTTACTAGCAGTAGTCACTTTGGGTTTCTTCCCTTTGGGCTCAAACTTTCCTCTTCTTTCTTCTTCATTCCTTTTTCTAAATTCGGAAAATCCGATGGTAGAAGCCTTAGTAGGAGATGTCGATTTAGAACCGCAATTCGAACAAAATTTTGCCAACTGTGGCAAAGACTTTCCACATTCGCTGCAAAACATGGTTTCGGAAAGGAGAACAAGCTAAGGATGGAACGAGTGTTGGCGGGAAACTAAGAAAGAACTATTACCCAGTCTCCCTTGGCGTTGCGTTTCAATTTTTTTTGTTTGCGTTTTCTTTTTTCTTTTTTTTGTTTGCGTTGCATATTTTAATTGCTGCAGTATTTTTTGTTTGCGTTGCATTTTTTATTTGTTGCGGAACTTTTTTTCCTTTGCGTTTTTATTTTTTTAAATTTGCTGCAGTATATTTTTTATTTGCTTTGAGCCTTCTGGGCCATCGTACAGTAGCTCCATAAATCGGCTCCTCCCTTTCGACTTCTTATAGATACAACTTCCAAGCGACAAAGGATCCCTACACTCCTGAGGATGGAGGGCGAGGCTAAATTTACTAAGTGTTTGTTGTGTTTAACCAGGGTCACCAAAAGTCAATGATACTCGAGACTCCAAAAAGGAGCGTTTAAGGCAGAAGCTCTGCCTGGGAGGAACAAGAAAACGAAGTAGTTCAGTTGGAACTGTGAGTAGCGTCTCCAACAGTTTCAGATCTGTAACTCCCTTGAATAGTGACGTAGAGGATGAGAGCGGATTAGTAAATGAATCTTTTGACTGAGTTCATTTGTCGCCATCCATTAAGACTTCCACACCAAGGAAAGGAATCGAGCAAAGGATCAGAGGTAAAGTAAATAAACATTCACCACAACGTGTAAACAAGCAGAGAGATATATTTTTTCGTAGAATATCCGGCATTTGGTTTGATTATACAACCCCAGCTCTGTGTTCCGTTGGTCCTATCCCGTTATGCTTGATGTTGCAAAGTCTCCTTAACCTCGGCCTTACACTCTCAAGATCTCCTTAGTAATTCTCCTTACTGTCTGCCATACAATTCTTATGATGTTAGTTTGGAGAATTTGTACTGGATCAACTAATAATCCTATTGTTGACATTTCTCTTTAATCTTATCACTTGTCTGTTTGATATTGTGTTGATATTGTGATAAGAACTTCCGCCTTGGTCATCACTCGTGGGGGTGAAAGGGTTAATACACATGTTGGTTTTGATTATAGGCTTTTACGCTGCCTGCTATGGCAACAAGGAGTTAAAAAATCAGTTTATAGAGACTGGCTGCCTCGAGTTTGCGATGTGCTTTTTGTTGTTGTTGTTTTTTGTTTCATGTTGGAAACCGTATAGTTTGGTTAGAATTGTGCTTTACTTCAACTTGGTTGTGTTTTTTGATTTGCATCAATCTTATCTAAGAAATTATACGGCGAATCTGGGCCGTTTAAGCCCTTTCATTCATCGACAGTCAATCGACCATATAACCAGACTTGGCCGTGCCTTTGCAAGGTAAAGCCGAGGATATCAGCGATTGCAGCAAAGGTGGCGAAAAATTTCCCACCGATGCTGGAAGTAAGCCATCAAAAATCGATTTTTTGTTTCATGAAAACTCGCTCCACGCTCTGAGCCAATCAGGTGCAAAGTTAACCCCAATTATTAATTGATTAGTCGCGTTTTCCCGAGCTTAGTGGCCGCTTTCCTGCTAATTAACCCTTCCACTTCCAAGATCTCCACGCCAATTCTCTTCTCTATCCTCTATACATTTCTCATGCACAATTATGGCTCTGAGAATTCTATGTTGTTTAATGGAACGATGTTCCCTTCTGGGGTTTTAATTCACTCGTTCTGATGTCTATCAATAAGATGATTTTACTTCAGATTAAATAAAGTACTACTTTTTTTCTGAAAGGTGATTTTCCTCAACGGTCCAAGCAAAACATAGGCCAGCGTAAGAGATCCGCCTTGCTACTTATATTTCAGTTTCTAAATCCAGTTGAGCTCTGCGGCCTAGCTCGAGTGTGCCGTGAATGGCGTGCACTGAGTGAACATCCTGCGCTTTGGAAAAGCGTGACCTTACACGGGATATCGCTGAATAATATGGTGAGTGCCCTGCAAGGGTTTTGTTAGTTTTGTAACAATTTCACTGATTTCATTTCATTTTTGTCGAGGAAACGTCTGCATGGTACAAAGTGGGAAAAAAGATTAATTTAGTTGTTTTTGTTGCAGGCTCTTCAGGTAATTTCTAGGAGATGCAGCTCCACGCAATTCCTAAAGCTCAAAGGTCTGTTTAAAAAT